GCGATGTCGTAGCACAACGAGCCCTGCAAGGTTTGGTAAGTGGGGGCTTGGGCCGATTGCTTTTTGCCCTTGGGGGGGATGAATTAGGATCTCTCCTTACAAAAACTGCGGCTTAGGTCCATGGAGGGAACCGAAAGGAAAGCGAGATTAATGGGAGGTGGGTGAAACAATGGAGAATGGGTGAAGGCCCTGAAGGGTTATGGGGGGATGTGATCCAACCTAGTGCCATCCTTATCCACGTGTAGTTACTATAGGTTAATTTCCCACTTTCAATCTGTAACTCATCTCTACTGGTGTGATGATCTCCTAATTACACAGTACAAATAACTTCGATTTTGATTTCCTTATGGTTTTCTCATACATAATTGATTGTGGAATTAGTCCTCTGTCTAGTCTTTCCTGTCTTACCGTCTGAGCAATTCTTTGAATTTTCTCAAACATGTCTTAATTGCCTTTGCTACATGCTTCTCAAACTGAGGTTTGAAATCTATTTCGAAAATCCGTTTTGGATGTCTAAACCTAAATTCGTATTTTTTCTCTCAATTACAGATGTCTAATGTTTTTAGTTTCGTAATTGATTCTCTATTTTTGAAAGGATCTCGATAGACTGGATTGATCTTCTAAATTTTGATTCGAGGTTAAAGTTCAAGAGGTAGATCTTTCGGTTTTGAAATTTCTAGTTTTCGTGTGTCTTCATCCCAATCATTAAAAAAAATTGGTTAAAATTCATTTCTAAATTTCGACTTAAAAAATAGTATGCAGAAGAGTAGATTGATTCTATTTTTCGTTTGGTGATGGGAAGGCGGTTCTTCAGAGTTATCCTCAGGGGGCTATTCCATATGGAGAGGGTTGAGATGGAGGTTGGGGGAACCACCATTCCGCGGGGACTGGCTTTTGGTGGGAACTGCTCGTCCTTGAGGGAGTGGTGGTTCGCTAGGGGGCTTGTTCTGAACTGGGGTCAATAAGGGGAAGGGGTCGCCTCTTGACGGGGCAGCTCAAGGACAGGAGGGGGGGGTTTCTGATCAGAGTGAGGGCAAATTTGTTTCTCTTCACAATGGAGAGGTGCTGTCCTCTCTTTTCCCCTCTGCGTCGTGGGGAGAAATGAAGGAGGAAGGAGGTGGTTCTAGGGTTGTCCTCGGGGGGGTGTTCCAACATGGAGTGGGTTGGGATGGGGGGTTGGGGGACCGTCGTTCTGCGGGGACAGACTTTTGGTGGGAGCTGCTTGTTTTTGAGGGAGCGGTGGTCCGCTAGGGCGCTTGTCGTGAGCTGGGTCATTGATGAGAATGGGCCCCCGCAGACTTTTGGTGGGAGCTGCTTGTTTTTGAGGGAGCGGTGGTCCGCTAGGGCGTTTGTCCTGAGCTGGGTCATTGATGAGAATGAGCCTCTTCTCGACGGGGGCAGCTCAAGGAGAGGAGGGAGGGGTTTTGGTAAGAATGAGGGCATCGCTATTTCTCTTCACAGCGGAGAGGTGTTGTCCTCTCCTTTCCCCTCTGTGTTGTGGAGAGAGTGGGAGGGGAGCTTCAAAGATTCCCTCCTCTACTCCTTTAGGATTTCTTTGTTTTCTTCCAAGAGGTTGGTCAGAGTTTTGAACAGGGGCCCCATGGGATGGCCAAGTGGAGCATCTTGTAGAATTTTGGGGGATTTGTTTTGAAGTAGGGGGCAAGGGGCATGAAATGATTCTTGGCAAGGACGGAGAGGGGGATGGAATAGGGTTGCTTGACGGGTACCGGCTAGGGGGAGCTCTTATCAGATGGGATTGGCGTTGGGTAGCTTAGGCTGTCTGATTGGTACCGGCTGATGAGGGCAAACTTTGGCGCGATTGGCGCTGGGTAGCGCTGGTTCACCTCCTTGAGGACGGAGACTGGAATTCTTGTGGGGGCAAGGAATTTCAGGGTGATGGTGGTGCTCGCCCCCTGCTGAGATGAGGTTCTCTGGAATTCTTCACGAGGACGGAGTTTGGGTGGACGGATGAGATTTGGATGGAGGGAGTTGGGGTGGATGCGATTGGCACCGAGTATCTCGGCGGGTACCGGCCACTGGCCACTAACTCCACCTGGATCCGCTTGAGGTTCTTCCTTTCGATGACGGAGGCAGGACTGTTCTGGTTGTCTGTTTCAGGGGTTGCATGTTCTTCCAAATTTGATCTATCCGGGTTAGCCCGGAGTTAATCCCCTGGCTTCTGCATAGTTCTTTTCATTTTCATTACCATCAAAGGGGGTTCTGCGCTCAGTTAATCCCCAGGATCCCAAGGTAATCAATGTTGGCCGGGGGAGGTCTTCTCAACTTTTCTAAAAATAGATCCTTGTTGTAAATGTCCTTATGGGACGCTGGACCCGGTTTCCAGCACGTGCTGCTCCCCACGAATAGATTGGAGCATTTGCTTAAAAAAAAAGTAATAATCATAAAAAATACGTTGTTGCAGAGCACCCAGGTCCTGCTAATGCCCAAGGACCTATTTTTGGATGATAGGACACCGTTGGGGATTGAATACACAACCTTCTGAATGCAACTTGTGTGGCTTACCAACTGACCTTGGACAAGATCTCATTCCCATTGAGAAGTCGTTTTATGTATGAGAGGAGGGCATTTAGGTTTGATTAGTGAGAGTATACTAATGTGTCTGTAAAAGCGACTAGATACAACGTGGACTCACTAAAGTCAGGCCTTCTGGTACTAGACTGCTAGTGAGTCAGGCCTTCTGCTTCGCCCACTGCTGAGGTTGAAACCCCACCAAATAGGTAAGAAAACTCAAAGCAAGTAAAGTGACGACGAGAGTACCGTTGAGAGCATTTAAAATGAGCATATGGCATCCCTGGGGCATATGCTCATTCACCGGGAGTCTAAAATTCGACCCAAAGGGCCTTGCTCCACTACTTACCAAATGTGCTAAATAAGAATGAGAAGGCGTCTTCTGCTAGAACATGGAAAGATACGCCCCCATACCATATTTCTTGTCACAAATACCAGTTATAAATAGCACTATGGGGCAAGATACAGTTTGCAATTCCACTTCAGGCACCCTACCTGGCCAGAAAAACCGGGCCCATCGTCCCTCACAAAATTAGCTGGCGCCATGCTAATCTTCTCTCTATCTTTCCAATTTTAAACGGATGCTCGGATGACACACATAAATCGAGGGAAAAAAATAAAAATAGGTCGGGCCCTCGG